GTTTCCGAACTTCCCATTCCACTATACAGCAATGTTATCGTGTGGTAGACGTAGTCTGCTCGGCATTAGAGCGCGGAATGTACTGTACGGGAGTCTTTCTCGACGTTGAACCGGCGTTTGTTAGAGTTTGGCACCCGGGACTGCTGTACAAACTCCGAAAATTCCTACTACCTACCTACTTCTTCATTATCCGTTCCTACCTTACTGATAGATACTTTAAAGTAGATCACAATAACGCCTATTCATCCCTTTTTTCCCAGTCCGCTGGTGTTTCTCAAGTTAGTATCCTAGGTCCTATCCTCTATACCGTTTATACAGCTGACATCCCTACCTGTCGCAACACTGTCATCACCGCATATGCCGATGACACATGTATCCTATCAGTAAACAATGACCCAGCAATTACATCCCAAATGCTTCAATCACACATCATACACCTAGAAGAATGGTGTTAAAACTGGAGAATTAAAATAAACTCCAATAAATCCCACCAAATTACCTTTACCCTTTGTCGTAAACCAACGACTTCCTGTCCTACAGTTTCCTTTAACAATACTCCACTTATCCCTGTTGAGCAAATCCGATACCTAGGACTCCACCTGGACAAACGACTAACTTGGAATCCTCATACTAGACTGAAACGACAAGAAACCGCTCGACGTTTCCGGTTACTGCAGCACTTACTAGACAAACGCTCTAAACTTCCCATTAATTACAAAAGACTCATATACTTGACTATTGTAAGACCTATTTGGACTTACGGAGTTGAGCTATGGGGCTCCACTAAACCATCGAATTCCTCTCGCATCCAATCCTTACAATCCAAAATCCTTCGTAAAATCCTCAATGCTTCTTACTTTGTCACTAATAAAATTCATAAAGATCCATAAAATTCATAAAAATCCATAAAGATCTTAATGTTCCTTATGTTTCAGATCTGGCCCAATCCAGATACCTATCCTTCCATAATAAACTTCAGAATCATCCCAACCCTCTCGTTTCCAACCTTGCTTCCTCTTCAATTCCTGATAACCCTCCGAGGCGTCTGAAAAGAAGATGTCCCCGTGATCTCCTAATGTAGTCATATCATTAGAGTGCTACCATTGGGTAGTTACTCATGTCATTATATCAAATATGTCCAAATTTACTTGATGTATTTATGTAATACAGTTGTAAATGTCATAAAGAAATAAAAAAAAAAATTTAAGTAAATTTTGTATATGAAGCAATTTTGAATTATTTAAATTGAATATTTCTTTAGTTACCGGTTACTATTCAGCAATAAGGAGGGCTTGCTTAAAAAAACATAAAATTTAGATTTGGTACATCCTGTATATATATATATTATTATTATTTTCGAATTTCACACTTTCTTGGCTTTTGCTTCACCTACCCGGACCAAGGTCAAGGGTTAGGCTCAAAATTTAAACTATATTTAAGAACTTCCTGACGATGTTCGCTGTGCTTAGAACTGCTTTTTGCCCTTCTTCCAACACTTTCTCTGGAAGTTTCAAATTTTCGACAGAGCGAATGGTATCGTCTGGGATGATGCCATTTCTGGAAATTACAACTGGATATACCTGGACTTGATTCAGTTTGTAAAGTTGCCGAAGCTCTTGGCACAAGTCTTGATATTTCCTAATCTTTTCAGAAATAGTCTTTCTGATATTATCATCGGTTGGAACCGCTATATCTATGACATACCCACTTTGTTTCTATTATTATTATTATGATTATGTTTATTTGTTTCACACTTTACATGGTTGTTAGTAATAATTGGGGATTTGTTTTTAGTTTAAATAACTACAATTAATTGTTGCAAAGCTTTTATTTATTGTTTTCCCATGATCTAGGATATATTTTAACGAACCCGATTGCCTAAACACACTTTTTATTCATAAATAAAATTAAATCTAATTCTCTAATTCCTAAAATTTGTGTTTAAAATAAAAAAAACCTGCAGATTGCTTCAATTATTTAAATTAAAACGTTAATGTTAGGATAAGGAACCTTTAGTTTGTCCCTTATAAATTCGGATTAATTTCTATAATAGAGATTTTGATAAACATTATAAACATAGCGGTTGATAATCGCTTTACCGGTAAATTTATTTTTTTTATTAAATAAAATCTATGTTTACACAATTGGGTTTATTGAAATACATTCTATATCATGGAAAAGGGAGAAAGAAAAGCTTTTCAACAGTTAATTGTAGTCATTTTTGCTGAAACAGGGATACTTTTACTTTATAGGATAAAAAATATCGATTTTTTACAAAACTTAGCTTAATCTCAAAAATTCTCTAATAAATCTCAAATTAATTAATACTAACTTAAAGCTTATTAAACGAAGAAGTGTTTGTAAAAGTGGGGAAACTGTAGTATCGTTGGATGATGATTAAAAAAAAATTGCGAATAATTTATGATTTTTCTAAAAACTGAACTTGCCTTAGTTTATGATGACTCAAAAGTCATCATTAAATGGTTTTAACAATGATCAACTTTATTTTCACTTAAAGTAAATTTTATCTACTACAATAAATCAATTTAGAATTATTTAACTAAATTAACAATCAATTTAATTATTAAAATTTACTAACTAAATGAAAGATTTTAAAAATATTTTTAAGTTTATTATAAATAATAACTATTTATCATTGTTAAGAGTTCTGAAAAAATGGTAAATATAACTTTTGAAAGAATTTGATAATTGAATATGAGAAAAGAAAGAAAAATACATATCCAGGCCGAAAATGAATGTCCGGAAATAACAGTCAGAAGGGATACGTATAGTATAATATATCGTTGGAAAGTAGAGAATTAAAAAAAAAAAACAATATCTAATATAAAAAATTGTAGAAGGTAACGGAGAGTGGCAAAAAATATATAAATAATGATCTCTAAAAACTAACATTATTTAACAGAAACCACATATTTTTAAGAAAATTAAATGAAGTTTGAAAAAAGTATTTAAAATCCACATAATCAAGGAAATGGCACTGTTAAAGATGCTATTTCATTGAACTTGTGTGGAACAAGAAGTGAAATATAAAAATATTTCATGGATATGTTTATAACCTTAAATACATTTACTGTTTAATAACTCTAGATCTGATATTATATTTAAATAATTAGATATGTATCGTCCGTTTATTCCGAAAAATCAGTCTTTAGAAAATTAAATTAGTGAATAATTTGATGAATGTTCCCTTTGTGATATTCCAATATTATCCACTTCCAATTGGTGTGACAACTTTTGACCTGTCTATGGTAGACAATAAAAATCTCTTAATTCCATTTTATTAAACATTGCAATGGAAAACAACAGCTTAATAACTAATAGTTGTACAATCCATAATCAACGGATTGTACAACTCATAATCAACCGGTGACATAATAAATAGGACTTTTGCCATTTTAATAGTATTTATGATTTGTTAGCTGTGAGCTTTTAGCTTTAGCTCGGTTAAAAATGCAATTCAAAGATTTTATAATAGCCCAACATGGCCAGAAAATAATTTCTATTCAAAGTTGAGCTGCAAGTGAAAGTTGAGTGTTGCGCTCAACAGATTTTTATAATAAAGATGAAGTGATTGGACGGAACAGCATCAGGGATGTCCAGAAGGGGGTTCAATTTCCATCAAAAAAATTTTTTGGTAGGAGGCACATTTCGAGGATGTTATGAATTTTCTAAATGAAAAGTTTCAAACCATGTGGCAAGGGGAAAGCATAGAATAGAGCAGTGAAATTGTAATTTTATATAACTCATGATTATAAAATTATACTTTCGCTTAGACTGCTATTAAAAAGAGGACAGGAATAAAATATTTTGGAAAAAGGGGGAGAGTTCATGCGCCATTGGGATGGGCACCCCTGTTTCGTATAATTTAAAAAATCTGAGACAGATTGCAATAATTCTCAATAAAATGGTTTAAAAAAAATTAAAAAATATACTAAGGATTAAAAAAAATTGATTAAATCACTTAATGTTAGTTGATAATGCAAATGACTTAGTGATTATTATCCAGTTTCAGCAATACTGTTCAATATGAACAGAGCTGGGAAGTTATTTATATAAATAACTCTGAATATCAATAATAAATCTAATAATAATGCCTTGTGTTTATTAATTCAATGGTATTACATACTTTCAAATCTTTGTCATTGGAATTAAAGACGGGACCTATGTTCAGTTTGCTGGTATTTTAATTTGATATATGTTAACTACAATTCTTGGCAATAACATCGTGTAATCCTTTCACTAAATAGATTTATCTTAAATGGTTATATACAGCTGCATTACTTGTTATGTGTTAGTATTTTACCTACTAATATATTTGTTTTTTTAAAGTAACACAAGAATCACTAATGATCTATTCGAACCTAACTAAGGCAGAGTACCAGTCTTGGAGATGATGCCTCTTATGCAGTGACAACTACATTCGATGTATCGATTTTTTCTAACAGAAAGTTAATTTTTGCAGTAACATTACTTATTATCTATGTACCCTTTAGATATAACATATAATTGCAATTTATCAATTTTATTATTGCTGTCTAGAGGATCGACAACGTTCTTAAATTGTAATAGAGTTAAGACTGAAAAGATGAATTTATTTAATCATAAATATCTTTATCAAATGGAAAAATATTAAACCAAAAATAAAATGGTGTCTGAACGTTTTAATTGACTTTATCAAAACTAGAGAAGCATATATTTTTTTAATTGTTTGATGGAGGGAGGGAGAGAGATTCTATGGCTACAACATCGCTACATGGATCTAAATATTGTTTTGTTTTATTTATTATGAATGATTATAAGATTCTTATTGAAAAATGGTTTTATATTTTCCAAATCTCAAATTTTATAAATCAAATTATTATTATAGAGAAGAATTTAATTGTTGGGAATAGGGGCAAAAATCATAAGCATTATGAAGCTTTTTAAAATTTTAATAATAAAAGTATTGAAATACATTTTAATATATAAGAGGTAGTAACATTTATACAACTTATTATACAAATGGTCTGAATCAATAATATATTATAGGAAAATACAAAAGTCAACCTTTATACACAAACTACATAACATCAATACAAAAATAGAATCCTGAATTCTTGTTTTATTACAGATATTGTCAGTGTGACCTTTCTTAGCATAAGTTTAACAATCTAATAGATTTTGATTTTTGTAATATGATATATCAATTATAACTATTAATAGTATGCTATAACAATACTGTTTCAAATAAATTGTATCGTCAGTAGTGGATGTATACACATGTACGCAGTTATTTCAGTTTTCTAATAAAATGTAATTGTCGAAGAAACATCAAATTTAAATAGGAACGGATTTGAAAATACTTGTGTACAAATTTCGAAGCAGAAAGGAAGTCATAAATGTGTGTAAAGACGTTATACATTACAATGACAAATAACCTTTCATACGTATTAATTACAATTAAAAGAAAAACATTTATTTACATATAAATGAAGATTCTTCTCATAACAAAATTATTATAATACAAAGGCAAACCACGAACAAAAATTAATGTAGTAGTCATTTTCTGATCCAATAAACAAACAAATAAAATAAACTACTCTATGTAACAACTAAATATAGAAATCTTAATTTCAAGCCATTGTATGGTTCATTTGATTGAATCAAATGGCTATGAATCAAGGTTCTAAGATAGTATTTACCTCCGATTCATTTCATCAATTGTCCATACAACATAAAATGAGAGATATTACTCAATAGTATAAATGTAATTACTCAAAAAGTGTCAAACAGAAACAAAATTATTTATAAATATATGTGTGTGTATGTGTGTGTGTGTGTGTGTGTGTGTGTGTGTGTGTGTGTGTGTGTGTGTGTGTGTGTGTGTGTGTGAGTGTGTGTGTGTGTGTGTGCGTGTGCGTGTGTGTGTAAATATATATATACGCTTATTAAGCTAATATTCATTTATCACATTCATAAAGACATAAACGTATTTATTATAAGAAAACAAAACGGTTACCAACATTTCTCTATAGTAAACCAAAACATACAATAGGAAGAGTGTTATTTTTTGTATGTGTATATTTTTTTTAAATATATTTTTAAAATATATGATTCCAAAATTCTAGATAAAAGAATAATACTTAGATAAAAATCACATGGTTTCCCAAAAAAGCATTATATTAAAAAATATATATTCAAACAATGTAGGACACTTAATTGGCAATATCTACCCTGAGGTTACGTGATACACGCTTTGGAGAAGCCACTGGTTTTCAAGTTAATAAAAAACATTCTTAAAGATACGAGAAGTAATTTGGCTTTAAGGAGAGTAACAATTAAACTTTTCCTGAGCCTTCGTCTCAAACATTTAAGATAAAACATGAAATTACCTGTGTCGTCTTCTCCCGTCGGTATCCGTTTTGTATTAACAGCTCTCAATACATAAGTTCGACAAACATATAATTCGAATGATTTTGTGGTTCAATAACCCGTGGATTACTTCCTCTTCGCTCTTGGAGCTCCGTTGACCTTGTTGGCGCGTCGCTCTGCACAAGACCGGACGTTGTTGAGGAGGTAGCGAAACTGGAGGAGTTGGACTGCGGTAACACTTGGGTTCGAGCAGCATTCCAGCCATCTGAGGAACTTTTCACCGTGTTTTAGCGCCTCGTCGGCAGACTCTGGGGGCTCTTCTTCGTCTTCTGACACTTCTTTCATGTCCTTTACTCGGTTCTCCTTCGTCTCGTCCCGGACATTGTTATTATTCAAGTTGAGGAACACGTTATCCAAGGTCGATTTAGACTTGACTAATGGTAAAGGTTCCAACACAGATTCTTCAGAAGGACTCTGAAACCCGTATTGTTTATACCATCTCCAAAACCAGCTGCTATTATCAGCCTCTTTGAGCGCGTTGACGTTCGGCTGCTGCTGCTGGCTGCTTAGCCAGTACCAGAGGGAGTCGGTATCGAATCTGGCTCGTTTAGCCTCGGAGGGGCCATCCGTTTTATCCGGCTCAGGAGAGGGCGAACTCTTGTTAGCTAAGGCGAGGAGTTTATCTTCATTCTTGCACCATCCACGAAGGGTAGATTCAGGAACTCCAATGATTCTCGCGACTGAAGCCTTTGATTCGCCTTCATGGACCCTCTGAATGGCCTCTAACTTCTCGTGGATCGACAGCTGCCTCACTGGACGTTTGTTCTGAGATACTTTAGCCATCATTCCGGGGGCTGATCACAAGAGGCATGCACTCTAGTAGAACATGCTCGATGGACTTGAGCCGAAGACACCCTGACCATACGGTTCGACAGTTGTGAGAGGACTGGCAGTTGTGTTCTAGTTAGTAGTTAGGGCCGGTGGACCGTAGGGAAGGGGAAGAGAGAGAGAGAGAGAGGGAGGGTCTTGTCCTTTGTGTGGATCAATAAGCCCCTCCCCCCCCCCACCAGTGGACACTGGCGGACTTAGTCCCTTCCTAACCCTGGTTACCAGGCGACCGCCTCCCCAGTGGTCACCTTCCTCCCCAGCTCCTCCTCAACAGCTCCCTCGCGCTTCGCTCTCATTTAGTTCACTCCCCGCTCACTAACGCCGTATTTATAGTCCCGTCCTAGTCATCCAATTTGACTAGTCTTTTATTTTACCATTATTATTATCTTACTATTGTAACATCTTGATATTTTTAATTAAGGAATCTTAGTTAATATAAAAAAATAAAATAAAACATTTTTATTTGAATCATTTATATTAATTGAAAACATTAAGTAATTCATATGAATATATGAATATGAATTATAAGATGTAAAAATAAATTTTTATAAGTGATTTCCTATACATAATATAAATATCCGTGTATTATATTTATTCCTTAACTGATCATTTTACTAGGTTTATATAATCATTATTCCTTACTTAGTTTTTACACTTTTAATGAGTCTGTATCACGAAAACAGTTAAATGGTTTCTTAAAATTTGTTTAGCAAGTAATCAACTTACACTTTGAAAAAAAAAACTTTAAATAAGTAGTTAAAATATTACTAAAATCAATAAGGAAAATAATGAAGAAGGGCAGGTCTAGAAATTTATTTTCTCCTGTAAATTTTAAAGCTGAAAAAGAAGGATCTTCCACCCAATCGCTTCTATTATCCTTCTATCTCTGAAAAATGCTTAAAATAAACAACTTGTTAATCTTAGTAATCTGAAGATATCAGAGTTATTTGCTTAAATAGGTTCGTGTCTATAGCTTAAGTGATGATGACTTATTAAATTTCGACATTCGTATATCAGTTTGGTACGAATGACGAGAATAGGTTTTCATTTATGGAAATTATTCCACCTCTCATGAATGCCTGCCGCGGCTCTACTATATTATTATTTTTTTTTCATTTTATCAAATTTGATTTCTATAAAACATTGATTTTAAAAGACTCAATAGATGTCACACAATTGCATTCCTTTACAGATATATAGTAAGAAATAATCAATAGAGAATTAATTTCTTAATGAATATTAATCTTTTAACAAATTTATATTGATAATTGGATATGTTTATTTTAAAACAATTTATATGGGATCCAAAACAACTGTCGGCCAATTTATATAATTCGTAGAGCGTGTTGGGCATATTATCATATATGCTCACATCACATGGAATAAATTACATATATTTTTTCTTTCTTCACAATGATACAAAGGTTTCAACGCATACAAATATTTTTAATAAATGTGAAATACTTCTAGTAAATACCTAAATACCTAATAAAAGAATGTCAAGAATAATCTAGTACAGATGAGAGGATTTTAGTTTTAATACATCTTAGGCAATAAATATCAACTTGTTATAAAAGTTTATTTTAAAATAAATTTTGTAGAGTATTATTAATTACTTACATCAATATTTTAAAATGCAAAATATTTTTTATAATTATTTTAAAATAACAATTTTACTCCTGTATATTTAATTAGTAATACACGTTAACTTAAATATTTCTGAATTGAATATACAGCGTATACTGAATAAATTATTGCGTTAGAATACGGCGGTAATTGTTAACACAAATCAACTGGGCCGCCGATTATCTACCGTACTTATGTCATTCTATATTACCAAGTTGAGCAAATGGTTTAAAAATGTCTTCCAAGTCAAATATTTGTAAACAGTTTATCTATTTGGTTTATTTATCAAGTTCGATTCACCTTGATTATCTAAATTGATTCGTAACTTAATTTTACAATAAAGAGCGCAAAAATAAGAATATCGGGGTCATCTTTAACTGAAAAGTGATACACGATGAAAGTTTAATTTCATGATAAACGCATATCATGGAATATATTAATGTTTTACTTCTTTTAATAATAATAAAGAAACAAAACAAATAAAAACAAGAAGGAGCAATAATAATAAAATTGATTTAGTTTATATGATGAAAAATTAAAATGAAAAATTCGAGTAATGTTTTTCCAAGCTTTGGTTTACTAAAACGTGTTTTAGAAGTAGTTTATCAATTCTATGTTATTGAAGAAATATATTAACAAATTCTTCAGAGGTTGGCAACAAAAACTTCCATGAATGCAAACAATTTTTTTATTTTTTACATTTTACTTATAGTTCATCAGAATATCCTTGGCAATTCATTTATATAAATTTCTAAAATAAGAGCATTAATATATAGGGTTGGCAAATAAATCTTTTCGGTTTTCGTGTTTATTTTTATGTCACTATGATACACTTCTAATCTGATGAATTAATCTCTAAGATGGATTGTTTATACTGTTTGTATTATGTCAACAACTATATCTGTTAACTCTTGTTGAAAGTAGCTTAGTATTGTGTTTGTTATTGCACTGTGAATATGGAAGAAAATATCATTCATTATCGACATATTTTGTTGTATTATTTTAAAAAAGGTAAGCGTGCTGCAGAAGCTCATAAAAAAATTTGTTGTGTTTATGGGGATGATGATGACCGAACGCACCTGTCAAAATTGGTTTGCCAAATTTCATTCAGGAAATTTTGACATCAATGATGCTCAACGGTCTGTTAGCCCATATGAAATTGAAACGAGCAATGTTAAGGCCATTGTTGATCAAAATCTCACCAAATCAGTGCGAAAGATTGCCATGACACTAAATGTGTCACACGCAAGCGTAGAAAATCATTTACAAAGCGTAGAAAAACAAACTCGGTTATGTTTCTGGGCTTAATGTTCGGGTCCCTCGCATGATTTTTTGTCGAAAATCACAAAAAATGTCATTACTTTAGCTTTCTACAACAAATTTAGGGCCACAAAAAATACCTTCATAAACAAAAAATAAAAATCTTTAAGGAGTTTTTGTTTATTTATTCCTTACGTAGGCATTAATCAAAAAAACATTGATACGGCTCTGAAGAGCAATAATTCAGATTTTTAACGGATATAGTAACACCGAATTTGGAGAACATCCTGAAGAGTTATGAATGATCGGTAGGGTGTTGTGTTCCACCAAGACAACGCTAGACCCCACACCTCATTGATCATACGCAATAAATTATTGAGCCTTGGATGGGACCTTTTGCCCCACCCTCCCTATTCACCAGACCTAGCTCCAAGTTACTACCACTTAAACCGGTCTCTGCAGAACTCCATGAATGGAAAGAAATTCCAAAAGGTTGAGGACATCAAAAACCACTTAGATCCGTTTTTAACAATAAACTCTAGACATTCTATGAACATGGCACTAAGCAGTTAGTGGGAAGATAGGAAAAAGTCATATTAAATAATGGTCAATATATTGTAGACTAAAATAAATTTTATGTCTATAATTTTTTTTTATTATGATATTTACAACTGTATTAGTATGAATACATCAAGTAAATGTGTACAGAGGAATATAATAACATGAAACACGCTTGTTGAGAAACTACCCATTAGTGGCACTCTAATATGTCTATAATACATTGAGTTTTATTTCACCCTGAAAAATTGAAGGTACTTATTTGTACACCCAATAAAATGTTACAGATATTACGTAGCCATACTAAAAGGAAAATAAATAATCAAGTACAAAGTAGAAAGACAAACACTTAGTGGTAAATACAGATGGCGGCTCTGGATAACACCATTGACGGAATTTATAAAATAAGTATATATTCACTAACTTTTAAACTAACAAACTTGTAACAGTTATTTTATATTAATGCCTTTATTTTAGAAATGTAAATAAATTAATTTCAATGCTAGTTCAGATGATGGTGAAAAATATTTCGAAATGTCAACTATAAGTAAAATGGAAAAAATACAAAATTTGTTGGTATTCATGGAAGTTTTATTGGCAACCTCTGAATAAATTCAACAGTTTTCTAACAAAAGAAGAAAATAAGTATATTATTCTTGAAATTATTTTTTATCCTCCTCCTCCTATTATCCTCATACTAATAACGTAGAAATTTTGTTTGATACAAGTGAATCCGCTGTTAAAATAAGTAGGGCAAATAAGTAGAACTAAAAAATTTTACAAACATTTTACAATAAAATAATTGAAACTATTGAGAAGGATGTTTTATCATTTCCTATTAAAATTAACATTTTGCCTCATTATTTACATAACATCTGTCAACACTAATTATGTTTTTTGGTGTGATTAAATAGGTTAGGAAAATATTTAAATTTTGAAAAAATAAAATAAAAAAGCTATCAGGTAGAATGATTCAGTTTTATTTTTTTTCCGGAGAAAAATTTAATTTATTCCCTATAACAAATTTTTATTTTTGAAGTACATATTTAATTTTTATTTTTTATTTTAAAATGTTTGATCTTATTTTTAAGTTGCATGTCTTAACTTATAAACTGATTTGCAGTGATCGACTCTTGATCAACTACCGGTGACTCTACTGATTTCATTGTCACATCTACAATTATACAAATATTCTAAATATCAAATTTAAGCGTATGGAAGTGGAAGGGAATTGGTGCTTTTCGCTGATTTCATCTATATATTGTTGTAACTATAGATATACTGGAGGGCAATATAAAATCATAAATTATTAATTTTTATCACTTTGAAAGGTCCTTTCCGTTTATAGCTGGAAAAGCGGGGAAGGATGAATGCAAGAGCGAAAAAAGTTGTGCTAATAACCAAGGGACACGGGTCACCTCCCCAACTCCCCCCAATCCCCCCCAACCGCCCCCACTATCTCCCAGATCAATTGTCTCCTACTGCCTATCTCTCTATCTTTGTCTCTGTCCTCTCTACTCCTTTATCTCTGCTCTTCCCTTTCCAGAGATATAAGCCCCAGCTTAAATGTACCAATTATCATGATTGTTTCAGCCGTCTGTTTCACACAAGTTTAACTACTCTAGAAAAAGCGGAATAAAGTGTAAAGTTAAATTACTACGTATATTCTCTTGTTAAACACAATTATTAAAAAAAAAAACAACAAGTATGGAATAAAATGTCTGTATATATATGACGAACAAAAGTCAAATTTAAAATATATATATATAAAACCTATGTTTATCAGAATGAGTATTAATTCATTA